GGTCTCTGTTGTCAATTGTTTAAATGTTCGGCGGGGTTGTTGTGTTTCTCTGAGTTCTAGGTTAAAAAATACCGAACAATTGTTATGAAGAGTACATTTGAAAACAGGAAATTTTGGTACAATTATTCAAGTTGAGTGCTCAACTACTTAGAGGGTTTTTTTTTTTTGCAGATGGTAATACATTCTTTTGTTTTGGTAAAAAAAGATTTATATAGAACAGAGGTTGAAGATGATGCAAACAGAATTTGCTAAAATACAAACTTGGTTTCAACTTAATAAATTATCATTAAATTTGGATAAAACTAATTATATGATATTCAGAAATAGAAAGAAAACTGTTAATGTTTCATTTAGAGTCGATGGTATTGAGATTTAAGCAGGGCTTGACTGGAAGCAAATGTGAAGTTAGTCATGGATATATATATATATAGAACAGAAGTTGAAGATGATGCAAACAGAATTTGCTAAAATACAAACTTGGTTTAAACTTAATAAATTACTGTCAAGTGTGGATAAAACTAATATGATATTCAGTAAAATAAAGAGAACTGTTGACATTGCATTTAGAGTTGATGATGTTGAGATAGAGCCAGTGAGGTAAATTTTTTGTGTGTCATCATTGATGAAAACTGACATGGAGACTGTATACAAATCATGTAAAAACAAAAATAGCCAAATCAAATTGCAGTATTGTACAAAGTAAAGGGTTTATTTAATGATAAAGCACTGTTTATGTTGTATAATGCAATAATTGTTTCACATTTAATCTATTGTATTGATGTTTGTGTAAAGGTAAGCAAAACAATTACAAATTCTGTTTCTGTTTTTTTTTTAAAAAAAAAGAGCCATATGAATTATCACCAGGAAGCTTTACTATCACCCATCAAATTAATTGTTCCATCAGTTGAAGTTATTGAAATTCTATGATTTGGTTGATTATGGTATTTTATCCGTTATGTATAGGGCTCATAAAACACATTACCTTCAAACGTCCGATTATATTTTGTTAAAAGACAGAGTTTGTACAATCACAAGGGGACAGAGATGTTTGTTTAGCTAAAATGAGAACCAGGTTGAAGGAACAAAGTACTTCAGTCCAGGGTATAAGATTATGTATTACTCTGGAGGATGAAAGTCAGAATGCCAGATCAATGTGTATATTTAAGAGAATGAGGAAGGTTAATTTGTTGGGGAAATATGTAAATGTATAATGTAAAAATTGTTGCTCAAGTAGTAAACCTGTATTGTTTTCAGTTTGTTTTTCTTTTTATGTTTTTTGTTTTTGTAAATTGAAGACTATTTTGACTGAATTTATGTACGAGAGAAAAAGAGGCAGATAAAAGATTTTTTCTTCTTCTGCTACCTTTTTTATTTATGATTGATCTTTTTATGGAATAATATTGAATTTATGTTGTTTTAAAGAAATGAATAAACGTAACTAAATAAAATAAAGTTAATTTAATTATAAATTCTCTGGGTTCCAACTGAGTCAAGTTATAGTGCACCTTTGGGTGTTGGGGTGCAAACACTAAAAGATCATTTTTCAATTCAGTCTCATTCTGATAGGATGAAATTTATTTTGTTTTTCCAGAACAGTTGTTTTCTGAAATTTTGTTCAACAGATTGTACTGAGCTGTTGAGCGTCTCAGATTCAGAATTTAAAATTTGATAGTATAATTTATGTTTTAATACTCTTGTTCAAGACTCTGACACCTTGAATCAGTATGACAAYATTAGGAYGYAGGTTTWKGTTTATTAGATGGKTTTATTTSGGGAAATCTAACCTTTGTGCCTAATGCATGCTTAGGATGAAGAATTTTTTCTTCTGCCTTCCCAACGGACTCGGGTAAGAGCGACTCGGCTCTTAACACTAATAAAGTAGAATTAATTAAAATTAAAAACTAGAATGGATGCGTATTACTTTTTAAATAATGTATTTACTTCCCTTTAAAAGCTGTACCACAGTGCACACCAATAATAATAATACAGATGTAATAATAAAAATCTCAAAATATGCAAAGTAGTAACCAAATTAGAGAACTATTCAAAAAAATAAAACACATTTACAAATAAAGTTGTTGAGCTCTGTTGGAGGAGAATGCAAAAGTGGGACCTTAACATTATTTAGCTAAAGTTTGAGCAGGTCTTATAAATAGATGTACATTTTTTCAAAAAAACATGAACAGAAATGGCAAAAGCACAAACTCCATTAAGTTTAAATTTGGGAACGTTGAAAAACATCTGATTGATTGAACTCAGTGCTCAAAATAGAGCGTTGTGAGACAAAATATCAGAAAAGATAGAGCTTGATTAAGAGCCTTAAAAACTAACAATACAATCTTAAAATAGATCCTGCAACAAAGTCATTCAAATGAAGCCAATACTGTTTTTTTTTGCCGACATCTAACTCGGTTTTCAGAAGTTTTTGTCCAACTTGAAAAGGTTTAAGTTTCATAATTTCATTATTATGACATGAAGCGGCTATTCAGAAAATTCCCTTTAATTCAGAGCCTTCATGTACAAAACCACTGATAATTCRTCTGATATGTTCATACAGTGCAAACACAAATGATTGACACAACCCTACGTGTCACCTTCAATCACCCGTAAAAGTCGTAAACAATCTCACACTTCTCGCTTWTGTTTTTATTCATTTGTTTTTTCAAATCTGTCAGATACGAAGTTTCTCATATTGTTTCGGTGCCCATAGAACACGCTTGATGAGTATGTCACTTGTATCACCAATCAACATGTCCCAGCAGTACTCAGGGGAGAGCAACTTTGTAGGTTTATGAAGCCAAAAGTATTTATTTAGGTGACTTTCATCGTGCCATAAAGCTTCCACATTGTTCATTTTATCCTCCATGATGTTCAAATAGCAGAAATCAGCCAATGTCTTCACATTTTGACACTTGCCTCCAAAGATGGCTGCATGGTAGTAGTAATCACCTTCACTCATGTAAGCTTTGGATTTGGGGTTTCGGTCGTAGGTGAACCTGTTCTTTGGAAGTTTGTAAAAGTGGGCATGGAGCATGGCCACGGAGTCTCCGAGAGCCTCGGAGCCAAACCGCCCCTTAAATTCCTGATCCACGTCAAAACAGAAGACGTGGCTGAAGCTGTACCGCAGCTCCTTTTCGATCACCTCTGAAATCAGCTTCATTCGCATCATGGAGATGTCCTGCCATCGGCTGTACCTCTCCACCTGGATGATTTTTAGCTTTCGCTGCGGCGCTAGGGTGATTTTTGTTACATTTCCTGGCAAATCCGTGAACACATAATAGGTCACCGGAAATCCCAACATAAAATGCTTTTCTGCGGAGATTAGGAAAGTGTTGAGGTATGCCTCCAGGTACCTTCAGTAGAGACAGAGAAAAAAATGTACACGTTAGTTTTTGCACAGTCAGATACTATATTTGTAATTATTGTAGGAAAAAAAAATCACTTCTTCTGTTTTTTTCCCCTTTGACATTGTTGCCCTGAAACAACAGGCAGTCACTTGGATGTTTTGACATTTTAGACTGTTAACACAGAAACAGGTTCTGTTTGCTTTAACCCAAGTGTATTCAAATGACCATGGAGCAGAGTCAGGTGGCTGACAGAAACAGGAGCCAAGATAAATAATTCATGAGAAAAAGAGGAGGCAATGTGACGAGCTTGACCTAAAACATTTAAACACTTTTTCATATAAAATTGAAAATTAACAAAACAATCAAAACTTCAAAATAATGATTCTATGAATAAATACCGATCTTAAAGCAGGGCTTATTAGTCCTGTTTATTCTAGCCATGTTGGTCAAACCTGATATGCAATGTCATGTGATACTGTGGGTTGTAAATAATGCTCAGCTACTACCACATCACACATTAGCTCACTGTTGACATTTTGGGTAGATTGAGCCGTATTTATATTGGCTAAGGTTGGTTAGCTGAGCTGCACACCGAAAACTGGCACAGTGCTAAATGTTTATCTCATAGAGCTACATCCAATCCTCAGTTTTAATAAAGTTAAAGCCTACAGTAAATGACAAGTTTTAGGCAAAGATGTTACACAATGTTCAGCACCCAGAATAAATGTGATTTAGCCTCAGCTACCGCCAAACCAAATTTTAGCTCAATATTTGCAAAACTGGCAGAATTATAGCCAGTTTCGTGTTTTCTAAAATCATTTGATTGCAACAGCCATCTTGAACTAGGTTGACTCCTAAAGATAATCCCTTAATGCCATTCTCCCAGTTACTACACACCTCAAGGTTGTGGTAAAACTTCTCCAGTGGCTCATGAGAAGGCTGCTAACAGCTACGCGGGGTTGACTCCATTAGATAAAAGCAATATCTAAAGCTATTATCACACCAAACATGAGCCCAACTGTCTGAGTTATACACAGTTTTGTGTTGTTCATGTTCTGTTGGCTGTGGAGGCTAGCTTGTTGACTCTATATGTTAATAAGTTGTAGCTTCAATGATTACCTTCTGAGAGTTTTAATGACACAAACAAAGACTGCAGGTGCACACAGACAAGGGCTAAAACATTAACAGCTTGGACCTTTGCAGTGGGTGTTAACAACGCTACCATTAAGTTGGTTACCTTGAAAACACAACAAAAGAAACCCGTTTACCAGTATTAGCTTACAGGTTTTACTTTTCTCAGTCCAGGTTTTAGGTTGTGATAAGGGGTTAGGAAAAGTAATGAATGATGGAACAACAGAATGACAGACAAGCACATGCATTTTTTGATGCTTGTGCAGCAGTTTTAATGACATCCTTCAAAAATAGCCCATAGCAATAAATAAGTCAGCAAGATGTTCATCTTGTTCTAACGCTGTTGAGTGTTTCCATATTTGCATATTTGGTAGAAAAATAAAATACATTTTTGCAAAATCCAGTGTAAGTTGATATGATACYAGAAACTCATGTTTGAATAATTGTGAAGGAATAAAAGTTTACAAAGCAACAAACCTTCCAACAGCGAACACTGTGACGGCCACGCTCGTGTTCAACTCATGGTGCTTTTGATCGTAAAAATTAGCATCAAACATCAGTTCCCACATAATCGGAGCATTCCAGGAAGTGCGAGTCTGAACGGCTGGTCTGGATCTGAAACAAAACAATAAACAAATGGTTTCTGAACTTTCAGCAAATACAAAAAAAGGCGAAAAAAGTATCTCTGAGGTTATGATACCCTTTGAAAAATTCATTTTTAAAGTAAAAAAAAAAATCAAGCCGAGTTGTGGATGGTAAACTTGCTGCACAGTTCAAATTACAACCTGTAGGTTTCATTTCTGGTACTTTTGAGCACATTACCTATTATTTGTTTTGTTTTTTGAAACATGAAGGCCTAAATGATGAAATGTTGCATTTATTTATTTGCCATTCTGTAAGTATGTTTTCACACACACAAAAAAATCTGGATCTGGAACAATAAAAGTAATTTGTAGCATATGTGTATTTATTGTTGTAATGAATGTGATGGGTTATGGGGTCACACAGTGTCACTCAGATACACATTTCATTATGAATGAAATGTGATGTTGCCCATCAACTCGTTAAAATGCTTTAAAAAWTGATGCTTTGTCTTGTTTGCCTCTGCCTAGCCCTGGGAYGGACTTGTGTCCTGTACCGGGTGCACCTTGCTTTCTGCACAGTGACTGCTGGAGAGGCACCAGTTCCATGCATGGGAAAGCAGGTAAAAGAAAATGGATGGATGGATAGTCTTTTTTATTTAATGTATTATTTTTTGCCTATTTGTTATCATTTTATGTTTTTGGATCTGTTAACAGCCTGTCCAATTGTCCAAACGATCTGTTCAATCTTCTCCTCGCCAGTACAGAATTCAGTTGTCAGTCCTGGTCTCCAGACCCCACCCCCCACCCTGCCACCTGCTGCTTCTGTTTTTGTCACAAATAAACTGCTGCTCTGGAAGATCCCCAAGTTGTCAGCTGTTACCAAAAATCATGCAATGATTCAAATTCTTTAAGATTATGTGGGTCAAAACATTGAGATTGTCTGTAATGTTGAGTCACAAATGGGTTCCAAATTTCCAGCTGTTCAACAAACAATCTGTGTCTCTCACTTTGCAGTGTTGAAGGCTTTTCTGTGCAATTTCTGAAGCAGTCTGCATCTCTTTAATTTTGATAAAAGGATAAATCAGTCAACTATAAATTGGCATTTTATGTCTGCACCTTATTATCCACGACATCTGTCATAAGCCTAAATAAAAAACTGTAACTGGGTGAAATAATGTTATAATTATAATATATTGTCTGCCATCTGCTGGACACTTTCTGTTTTGCTCATATTTAGACGTGTTATTTTGCAAATGCTGCCTTCCTGAAATTTGGTATGCTTGTTTGTCTTTGTGTCTATGGTGTATWATGATGTGATTGTGATGCTGTAATTCTGAGTGTTTTATGTGCTGCAGAACAGGAACCTGCTGTAAAACAGCAATTATGCTGAGTCAGGCTTGATTTTTAATAATCTTTTCCTGTTAAATAAATATATCAAATCAAATCAATAATAGGAAAACAATATATAGAAAAACTATCATTGCAGTTTTGTCTATTTTGTTTTWGGTATAAATGACTGGAAATACATGGTATTTGTAGGAGGTTTCAGGGAAGTTCAAACTGGTTTGACTTGTAATTTAACTCGTTTAACAACAAATGGACGGTCAAAAAGCTTTTTTAACAAACCTCTTCAACTGAAACTCAATGGAGGTTTTTTTTTTTTTGTTCCTGGGGAAACCAAAAAATGCTGCCCAATATAGTAACAGTTGTTTTGTTGAGYGTGGGTGTGTTTTCTTTTCTGTAGTTCCCGTGTCTAAAGGATCAAGTAACATGCTAAAAATGTGCCCCTCCTTTAAACGGCTGATGTCACAGGACACTCACATTACTGAAACTCAAAATAATTTGAGTCAGTAAGAGAAGCTCTTCAATCTTTTGTTACAAAGCACCGCACTGAAATGATATTGATAGAGAGGAAAAAAAAATCTGGCTTTCATTTGTTTCTTCAGTGGACTTACTGCTTTAGAAAGATTTAATCCAAACTAAAATATCACAAAATAACATTTGGTTCTTATATATGTTGTTTGTTGCCATTATTAAAGATCTAATCAATCTTTTTTTTCATTGCAAATGTTAGACAAAACATTAGTGGATTTACCAGTTCCAAGGTTTGATCTGTTATTACAAATGTTTTATTCTCAATGGACTAAGAAATCCAAAATAAAATAAAATAAACTACATTTGATCTTTGTTTATTTTGCTTAAAATTTGTTTAATATTCATCCTATTATATTTTGTTTTATACATTAGACATTATTTCATCAAAATTTAATTTAAATGCTATAAATATGAATTAGTTTGATGCTAGCATGAAAGCTAACAGGCTTAACTGAGTTTCTTATGAAGCAGCTCTGTTGTCCTGCATCCACATTTTCCATTGCAGGCTGAGTCATTTCTACTTTCTCCTGTCTGTCAAGGCATTCTGGTTTTATTTTAAAAAGGACCAATCAGACATTGTACAAGATTAACCTCCAGGGTAGATTAGTGCCCCCAAMGCATCACTCCAAGAATCAAGACATCATTTATTTAAAAATAAGGTAAGCTATGCTTTTAATACTTTTTTCAAATGTTGTATTTTGGCTATTTTCACACACCGACAGGCTGGAGCAGTAAAATAAAAACTTTGCATGTACACAAACCATTTWACTAGATATAGGGTTCCTAGAACCAGGTTGTTGGTTTAGTACTCTGATCCAGCACTCCTTCTAGGCCAAGTGACAGGACAAGTTTTACTTATTTATTGTTTTTTTTTTCTTTTTTGTGCTGGCTGTCAGCAAGTGTCAGCGTGTTTCAACACCATAATTTAAGTATGATGGAGGACAGTTCAAAATGGCAGTATGTGTTTGTATAAGTGCAATAAATGTTACTGCTTGCAACTCGACTGTTGATTGTTAAGATCAGCTTCAAACACCAACGCTGCCTCTACATCGTCATATCTRGGGCCCGACTAGGACATAACAGGAAATAAAGGTGAGACAAAGAAAAGCGTGCATGTGTGTTCCACTTATCAAAAATAAATACTGTATCTGGATATTAACTACACAGTGTCACAAATAAACAAGAAGGAAGGCCAGAWGCAAACAAACAACACAATACAAGCATTCAACAGAATTTTCTGAAGCCTTCTACTAACTGCTTCTGGCTGCATAAATGGGTGAAATTATATTTCACATCTAATTTGGCTAACAAGGAGGGTGCTGATAGCAAATGCAGTTGTGCAAATGAGGTCAGAAGAGGTGAAATGTCTAGGTTTGTTTCTGTTTAAGCACATTTCTGCCCAGCATTTTTGTTTAAGCATGATCTGTTTGTTTCATGGGGTTACCTATGTTCCTGTTTTACGTCTGTATGGTGTTCCATTTTGGGCTTTGGGTTTAGTTTTGTTCCTTCAGCTGCATTGTTCAAGCTCCTAAAATATGATGTTGGGACGAGAAGGCCTGGCTCATCAAAATATCTCATGAAYAGTGACAAACTTTACAGCGGCAGGTTTTAAAGGTTTCAAAATGTAATCATCAACTGACCATCTACAGCTGCTAAACTTTTGAAGACAAGCCAATTTATGTTGGCTACCAACTGATGTAAGACTAAAGAAAGGGCTATAATGCTGACAATTTTACAAATGTTGAGCTAAAATTTAATGTAGCAGCGGGGAGTCATTTACAACACACTCTCAGCTAGGGTTGCCAACAGTCCCTTGAAAAACGGAATCGTCCCGTACTTAGAAACAAATGTACGCGTCCCTTATTGATCTGTAACGGGACGCACTTTGTCCCGTAACATCATGAGAATCAAAAATATTCCGCCAACATCAATGGAGTTGCTAAATGATGGTGCGCTTTTATGTAGATTTGTACGGTAAAGAAGCCCGCCCCTGCTCTGTGACCAATGAGCTGACAGCCCTTTTACACACGTGATTGAAACTACAGARTCGGCTCATCTCATTGGTCCATTCTCGGCAGCTTACGGAAGACAGACACGGCAGTGACATGATTTGAAGAAGGCATTATGGACACGAGCGGCAAAAATTCAGGGGATTTAAACAGTGAACATAGTTCACCTTCGAGTGTGACTACTTCCCCCAGGAAAAAAAAACAAAAAACGAAACGACTGCAAAAATAGAGTCGAGTGGGAAAAGGAACACGTGTGGCTGGAACGCATGCATTATAATGGCTACAAAGCGAACTGTACTGTCTGCAAGCGTACTTCTTCTGTAGCCCACGGTGGACAGTTTGATGTGAAACAGCATGCTTCTGCAGTTGGGCACATAGGAAACGTGAAAGACAACAAAACCAGGAGAACCCTTGACCAATCTGTTCTGCACCGGGCAACGCCAGAGGCAGATATGGTATGTAAAAAAAAGGAAAAAAATAAGGATAAGTTTAATGTGTAAAAATGCAATGAATGTGAGCAGGCCAAAAATGTGATCATATTTAAATTGTAATAAACAAGTAGAATTGAAAAATGAATACACAAAATGTATTTTAAAAAATAATTATATAAATAAATAAAAATTAAATTGCACAAATTTATAAAGTATTTCTCTTTTGTCCCTTAATTACAGGTGACTGCTGCAGAACTAGCCCATATATTTCGTACTGTGAAGCATGATTTAAGTTACAATTCAGCTGATTGTGGATTTAAAGTGACTCTTCAAACACTGAATGACTCCAGCATTGCCAAGAAGATGTCCTGTGGGAGGACAAAGGCTGAGGCAGTGGTCACAGATGTCCTGTGTCCAAAAGCAATAGAGGAAGTGGTTCAAAAACTGAAAAGTGAAAAGAACCCACTACCATTTTCTCTTCACACCGATGCCTCAAACAAGGGAAATCGGAAGATGTTTCCCTTGGCTGTGCAGTTTTTCACACCAGAGAATGGAGTAGTCAGCAAGGTAATAGATTTTGTTGAAAAATCTGGCTTGGGTAGAGTTTGCATGTTCTCTCTGTGCATACGTGGGTTCTCTCCGGGTACTCCGGCTTCCTCCCAC